AAACTTGCTATACGTCATCACAGAGGAGAAAAGCCAAGTACGAGTGATTGCCACATGATGAGAACTTAAATGAATCCTCAGGAAGGTGGTACGACTAGGGTGCTTTAGAGACTTAAGTTCCTTTTTGGTTGACGAAGATTGTAAGTATTTCTATGAGCAAATGAAATTATATTCTAAGTTTCGGCTGCTAGGGTTGGAGTATAATCTAATTTTCTTGTTCTATTGGCAAATTTGATGTTACATTTGTAGTTCCTCTCTAAATAGAGAGTTGAGATAAATTGGAAGCCAAGGCAAGAATTAACAAGCATGGAAACTAATTAAATAGATTGATATGGAAATCCCTGGGCTGACTTGAAGATCAAACTGCCATCGACTGGCTCTCCTATCCTTGGCGCGTCAGCCGTGCATTTGCTCTCACATGACAGTAGGTTATACTTAGAAAATCGTAATCATAAACAAAAAAAAGCTAGAAACTTATTTCTCAGAATGAGGAACCTTCAAAAAGAACAATAACAAAGAAAAGTATTCAGACAGAACTCATGTAACTGATAAAAAAAATAGATTCTAAGTTACTGCAAAAGAACAGCTTGTAATTACTTAAGAATGCATAGCCAGATTTAATAACCTGATCTAATTGCTTCAAGGACTCAGCAGATTTAGAATCATTAGGAATACTGATCGCTTTCACTGCACAAAGAGCTCCAGTATGCCTACATTTAAATGGGAGTAAACCAACATTCAGAATTTAACATGAATAGCTGCAATGATATATGGATTACACTTACATACCTGTTGGTAGCTTCATATACATCACCAAATGTACCACTGCCTATAAGTTTTCTCTTTTCCCATTGACCAGCTACTAAGGACATTTCAACTTTTGGAGCGGGTTGGTTGCTGAGAGTTGCTTTCACTTGGCTTATAGCACTGGGAGGAAGTGGTAAGGGGTGAATTGCAGTACTCCAGGTGCCTTCAGTGCGTGAAATATGATCTTCTGGGGATAACATCGGATGCATAGCTGATTGAGGGGCACTGGTATTCCTTGGCGTAAGAGAAGGACTGCTCAATGCCCTTGACCAAGGAGATCCCTCCGGATCCCATGTATATGTTTCAGGTAAAGAGTGATGAGATGATGGAGCTGACGATGATTTTGGACTCGAACCAGATGATGTAGTACATGAAAAGCTCACTGCTTCAGCTGCAATACTATCATCTAACTTTTCAGGAAATGACATTCTGTTATTACTAGGCATAGTCAGCTTTGTATCGACTGCGCATAAATCCATATGCTGAGGAGACACCTGCATGATCTGATTTGTCACCCTGTATAACCATCAGACATGTAAGCATCAGGAAGTAAATGTGAGTAGTACATAAAGGTTTTGCTGGCGAAATACGGTGTGCACATTTTACTTGTGGGAAAATGTCGTAAAGAACATAATATTTGCTTTTAGCGCGGGGGTGGGGGGTGTTGGTAAATAGCCTACCCGCTATCAGCAAACTGCTTTGTATCTTCCTCGGTCTCATTTACCCCACGCTGTTCTTGTAGAATTTCATGACATTTACTTGATGAGCTGTTAACTTCGGTCCTTGGCTCGTTCTCTTCCTCAACCCAATCTACCCTTTTTACGTTGACGTAACTAGGAAACCTTGAATGCTTGTGAATGGTGTCCTTGAACGCAGACTCTGCAGCACCTCTGTCGGGTTCCTCAGCACCCTTGGCTGCCCCAATTATTCCATCAATCTTCTTCAGGTTTATCAAGTGCTGAATGCCGGCAAGCAAAACATCATACTGCTGTCCTTTGCGGGCATTGAAACCTAGCTTGAGCCTATGAACATTGGGCAATGCTCCTTCCTGGAAGACCAGGCACAGTACACCGCACATGTATTTGAAATACTTGAGAGCAGGGAACACCCCATTGTTGAAGATGATGCTTTCTGCAGGGGGTTGCCGGACATACAATGAAAGAACAGTGAGGGCAGGCAATCCTGTGATGCTGTCAATATCATTCCTTCGTAGTTCACGGACCACAAGACTCAAATAGCAAAGTTTGCGAACTGCTCCAATATCCTTGGGAACCCTGGAAAACATGCAAATTGGGGGCAACAAATCAAGTCTCTGAAGACCCTGAAGAAAGACGGGAGGAGAGGAAACGCTGCTCAAGACATCATGGTAAATGGCTGTGCTTAAAGCTCCAGGAGCCAGAATGACAGATTTGAGGTTAACAAGCTTGATAACAGAAGAGGCCAAAGCTACCATGTTTCTCTTCAGATGCTCATCAGACTGCACTGTGGAATAGGTGAGATGAAGATATTGCAGGTTCATCAAGCCACAAAGGCTCAGTACATTGTCTTCAGAGTTATTGCCAAGGTCAAAATACTGTAGTGTACGCAGAGATCTGATGCGGCCAATCCCATCAGGTAGATTTCTCTCATCTCGAAGAGATAGATGCAATAAGCCCGGGAGATCAATGATATCCAATGGAACAGAAGATATTCTTGCATTTATTTCCAGTGTTTCCATGTATCGTAGTCCTTGCATCTGGGCTGGTAGTTCTACAATCATATCGCATGAAATCTTCAAATATCTGAGGTGAACCAAACTGCAAATTCTTGTGAGGTTGAGACTTGTATGCCCATATTGGTTACCCCAAAACTCAAGGGTCAGAACTCGCAGCAACTTAAACTCCACATCAGAAGGCAAACATCTGAGAAGTCCAAAAAAGAAAAGTGATCGCGATTGCGACAGTATTACACCTGATGGCTTGGTCGCATATTTGGCACTGCTAAAGTGGAGAGAAAGTCGACGGACCATATTAGAATTTCCTGTGATGGCTTTTGAATAATCTATGGAAGTGATAAAATCCTCTTCTTTGGACTTGTACATAATAAGATCACGTACAGTGTGGTGCATTGTACAGGAATACACCTCATCATTATGGTTAATTTGCTCAGGTTGGATCATTCCCCTGTTGACAAGCTCATAAAAATAGCTATCTGCCATTTCCTCTACCTCTTTTTCTTCCTTTGCAGTAATGAAACCTTCAGATATCCATTGCTTCAACAAATCAACCTTCCACATCGTGTACCCCTCCGGATACATAGTAAGATACAGCAAGCATGTCTTCAAATAATAAGGAAGACTACTGTAGCTAAGGTTTAGTACTTCTTTCAGCATCTCTTCCAAAGTAGGACTTGTACTTAATTTGGAGCATAAACATTTCTGCAGATGATGCCATAGCTCAGAGTTATCCATCTGACTTGCTAAGAGACCAGCAATACAGATGGTTGCTAGTGGCAAACCACCACACTTTCTAATGATTCTATCTGAAACTTCCTTCAATTGATCAGGACACCGATGTTCAGAGCCAAAAACAATACTGAAGAACAATTCTGCAGAGGCATGGCTGCCAAGGGGTTTCATTTTCAAAATATTATCAGACTGATAACCACAACATTCCAGAGCTACACTGTCAGTTTCTGCTGTTGTTATTATTCTACTGTAATTTTTACCATCCGGAAAAGCGCTTTTAACAATATCCCATGTTGTTGTTTCCCACAGATCATCAATGACTATAAAGTATCTGCAAAATAAATGTATATATAACTATATATTTTCTGAAATATACTAATGTACACAATGGTTGATTAGCATTTTTATTTCTATCACTAAGTAGAAGCAAGAAATACAATTAAACAATTATTTTTTTAGTTTCTCCAAACGTTCAAAGAGTTATACCATACATTTGGTCCATCGACTGTGCACATTCACAAAACTCCACTGTGCACAATCATGAGCACTGGATTTTATATCTGAGTCTTAGGATAGCTAAAACAATTGATTGCACACACCTCCACGGGACAAAAGAAGGTAAATAAGGTACCTCTTATCTTGGAGATATTTCATGAGATTGTCAATGAGATTTTGCACCTCGCAGGAATAAGAGGGCAGTCGACAACGCTGAACTTGAGAGAGGATGTCCCCGAGTAGTCTCTTTGTGTCTGACATCCGCGATGCCCGCACAAAAGCCCAGCAGTCAAACTGCTCTCCAAGCTCACGGTACAGCTGTTTCGCCAGCGTGGTCTTGCCAACCCCTGCAGGTCCATCTATACACATCACTTTCAGTTGCTGATCAGCATCCTCAGTAAGCCACTTGGTAAGCTTAATCTTCAGGTCATCGACACCAACAAGGAAACCCGTCAGCTGTCCATATAGGCCTGGAACCCGATTGTGCCCAGTGAACACACGGCTAGAACTCGAGGCACAGTCATCAAGATGATACCTCTCACGCCGTTCACTTGCCTCCAGCACCAGGGTCCTGAGCTCTGCGATCTTGGAAACCCTTGTGCGCGGCTTGATCGACTTGAAAAGCCGAGACACCTTGACACGACTGACCCTGTGGCTGCGGACGGGTCTGGTCTTGGCGCCGTCGCCGGTGTGCCTCAGCATCATGTCGTCGATGCAGTCCTCTGCTTCATAGGAAAGTTCACGCACCTCATCCATCCAGTATACTGCCTTGTGGTTGGGGGTATCCGCCATTGACTGCTCCAACAGGTCGGCGCTTAATTCTTCGAGATCTTCCTTGAGGAGCTCGATTCCGTGCTTCAGTGGCTTGGGCAGCCGGTAGTCGGGGGCCAGCAGCGCATGCAGCTTCCTGAGAAGGGGGCCCATGGCACCCAGGGAAGAGCTCATCGGAGCCTCCATGGCGCTCGCGGCGAACAGAGAAGAACTCATCTCTATCTATCTGAAAAATCCAAGCATGGAGAAGAACGGAGAAGAAGTCATCTCAATCTGCTCTAAAGTTTAGCATGAATTGAAGGACCCTCCGGTAAGGAATTGTCTTCTCTCCGCCCTGCACCTTTTCCCCGCCGGACTCCCCTCTTCCCCACACCAAATCAGAAATCCCCAAATCGATGTAGCCGGGGACCCCGGGGTAGGGACGACGGCCGGCGCGGACCTCGTCGACGGCGAGGACCGGCGAGGGCTGCTGCTGCTCTAGATGGGTGGAAATGAGGCGCGGCGGCCAGACCAAGAGGATTTTTTGGGCACAGGAGGGCACCGGTAGAATACGACGGAGAAACTCCGCCGCGGTGACGGAGCGAGTCTACTGAGATATTTTTTGGGCTGTCGAGAACGAAACCGGCGGGGGCCACCTCCTAAGTGGGAGATTGGATCATTTGCCCCACTTTACTTGGGCATTAGATGATTTGTCCCATTTTACATAGGATTAGATCATTTGCCCCACTTTTCATTTTTCTTTTGATGATTTGCCTTTTTCAATTACTGTAATCATTTTCGATTTTGTATCCCTTTTTTCTCCATGCGAAAAGACACAATTGCCCCTATGGCTAATTTACAATTTGACACTGTACAAATCTTTTTTCTTTACAAGGCTGTATCCAACCGAAGCAACTAATTAACAGGGAACAAATCATATCTACTTTCTTTACATGGCTTTACCCAACGGAACCAACTAATTAACAGGGAACAAATCATATCTACTTTCTTTCATATCATAGATTGATTCTGTTGCTTGTGTCGTGGTGTTCATGGCTAGTGGAGAGGCGGATCCACCGTCGGCCCCCAAGCCATCAACTCCGACGACCCCTGCACAGCGAGGCTTCACACAGATGGCCGCTGAGACGATCCCACAGACTGCCGGACAGGGAGGCGACTGTTGCGTCCATGGATCACCACGATCTGCTCCAGATTGGTCAGTATATTACCTCCCCTCCCTCCCAGCCCACCCCACCCCAAACACACACAGTGCCACACGGATCAAGGGTTTGAACCTCTTGGCATGCCTCCTCGCTAGGCAGCCCCTAACGCTGCTACACTTGTAGTAACCCTGCAACTGCAACAATATGATGGACACATAATTATCAGGATTCAGGATTATAAAGTTCTAAAATTATCCAAATCTTTAAACCATGTGGACGAATACTTCTAGGAGGATCATGAATCCAATGACATGGGCATACACTTAGTTTTACTGGAAAATGAATATTAAACAATCTGTTACTTGTTTCCTAACATAACAAAATCACAGTCAGGATGTCAACGACCTTTTTTACCGATTGCAGGCTTTGATAGACCTCCTTATCGTTACCTTCCTGCAGTTGCATACATGTAGCATACTTTTAATAGTTGCTAACTAGTTAGATGATGCCCTTATGTTCCCTCCATAACTAAAAATCTTTTGTTTTCCAAGTAGGTCTCGGCCGGTGGCTACCAATGATACATATGTATCAACTATGGAAGGAAGCGTTGATTGGTCCCAGATTGAGATAGCACCAATGAATGATGAAGAAATTGATGTTCCTATAACAGAAGAGAACATGTGCTCGGTGCTTGGCATCAATGACGAACCTGAGCATCGAAAAATTGTATCTGAAGAAGCTATGAAAGCCTCCATTGCAACTAATGGTTGGTATTGTGTTTTCTGCAGGTAAACAAGATAGTAAAGCCTCATAAGTGTTCATCAACCGCTGCAGTGATTACAAGCATGGCAGACCAAGCATGGGTGGCAGAAAAGGTCATGGGGTATCTTCAAACTGAACCAAACATTGGTGCCAGCGAGCTCCGAAAAAAGCTACAGGCCGAGTACAAATGTACTATTGGGTATCATACTGTTGACAAGGGAAAAGAAAGGGCCAAGAATAGTTTATATGGGACATGGGGAAAAAGCTTTCAGTCATTGTTGAATTTCAAAGCTGAGATTGATAAAAGATCTCCCGGTAGCATTGTCGAGGTTGATGTCAAGAGGGAAGGAGGTGAAGTGCATTTCCGCAGATTTTTTATGGCACTTAAGCCATGCATTGATGGCTTCTTGGCTGGTTGTAGACCATATGTCAGCATAGACTCCACATTTTTGACTAGAAAGTGGAATGGTCAATTAGCAGCATGTACAGCACTAGATGGACAAAATTGGATGTTTCCTTTAGCATTTGGTTTCTTTGGTACGGAGACCGAGGGTAACTGGATTTGGTTTATGCAACAACTTCATAGGGCAATAGGACATCTTCAAACTCTAGCTATTTGTACCAATGCATGCAAAGGGTTAGAGAATGCAGTTAAAATTGTGTTCCCTCAAGCTGAGCAAAGGGAATGCTTTAGGCATCTAATGGCAAACTTCAAAAAGAAGTTTCACGAAGATGTTTTTGGTCGCATGTGGCCAGCAGCCAAGGCTTATCGTCTGGAAACATTTAATTATCATATGGGCAAGATATTTGAAGCTGAACCTGCAGTGAGTACCTACTTGTGTACCTATCATAACTTAAAGTGGATGAGATGTGACTTCAACACAGAAATAAAATGTGATTACATTCACAATAATCTAGCTGAGTGCTTCAATAGCTGGATCAAAGGAACAAAGGAGCTGCCCATGAATGAGCTAGCCGATGCAATAAGAGAGAAAATTATGATACTTGTTTATAGAAGGAGAAGGATTGGGAAAATGCTCCAGGGAGAGATATTGCCTGCCATCATTCAACAAATAAATAATAGAACTAGGCAACTTGACCATTTGGTTGTTGGAAGATCAACCCGAGAAAGTTGTGAGGTCAAGGACACTAGCAAGAATAATCTTAGGCATGTTGTGAAGATAGGCAGCCGTGAGTGCACTTGCCTAGAATGGCAACACACTGGAAAGCCATGTGAGCATGCACTTGCATTCCTTATAGAGACGACAGATGTAAACTTTCAACCATATGTACATGAATACTACTCTGTGAGTAGGTTCCGGGCTGCCTATGCTGGAAAGATTGAACCAATCACGGACAAGTCTCAATGGCCTCATGTTAATCTAGATTTTGAGATGGTGCCACCGGATTTAAAGAGCTCCGTTGGGAGACGGAGGAAGCCGAGAATCAAAAGTTGCCTTGAAGACGGTGGTGGCAACAAACGGAAGAAAAAAGATGATAATGTCAAAACAAATGACCAAGAAGGAGGTGACAAAGGGAAGGAAAAGGAAAAGGAAAAAGAAAAGAAGAGATTTGGCAGCAAAAATAGGTGCAAAGAATGTGGGATATTGGGGCACAGGAAAGCAACTTGCAAAAAAATGAAGCTAAAGAGAGGTAAGCCATACACTAGTATCTCCTTTATATTAGTATCAAATTAGTACTATTAAACCATTTCTAACATCCGGTGTGATTGAATTTTCTAGTGATGTGTCTGCTCACGAGCTCGCTCCAGTTGTTGTTGCGACACCTACACGCACAACAACAATCACACTGCCTCCCAGCCTTCATAACAGCCCTGGGCCTATCACAAGGAGGTTCCTACTAAATTTGTCATATGCACATTTGATTCATGCAAAAGAAAAATCCTACTTTTATAACATTGGTGTGTAAACATGCAGGAGGCTTGCTATGGCCATAGCTGGAGACGATGCATCACGGCCATCTGGGACAAGTACTGTTAATTCTACAGCATCACCTACTTCTCACTTCCCTTCACGCTCTACGGCATGCAAGAAAAAACTGACCCCAAAGAGGAAGAAGCTCTAATTTTAGTGCATTCAATTCTATTTTAAATTCGTAGAGGTGTTGAAATTTGTCAATTTCAAAGATATTGGCTCAGAAAAATATATATTTTTGCTTGATGTAAACTCGGATTAATTTATCATGTCACTTGAACCAAGCAACCTTTTTGTGGCATCAGTTCGTGATTTCGGTGTGATATATTCTCTCAATTCCATGTGCTAAGTGAACATATGTTGTCAGTCTTTTTTTTTTAATCTATGAAGATGTTATATGCTGTCAATTTCCAACGAAATGCATATGCCAGGATGCACACCATATATATAGATCTCTGACCAGTGACTAAAGGAGATCCAGCAAGAGATGAAGCATATATATTTTCAGTGTGATACAATTAAAGTCTGAAGCATCTGGAGGAGATAACTGAACAAAGCATTTTATATAATGTACCCAGCTCCGTGATTGAAGCAGTACCAGCTGATAGGGTAATTAGTACTATCAACACTGTCGTCCAGCCATAGCTATTACCGGCAACGCAACGAGCTGACACACAACAAAACTGTAAATCCATGAATCATTGGAAGAAGGTAATTTTTACCAGCAACGAGCGCGCCATCTGCCGAGCTGCAGCTGGAGCCCGGAACCCGCCGGTTCGCCGAGCTGCAGCGGGAGTCTCCGCCCCGGGCCGAGGAGCTGCAGCGGGAGCCATGGAACCCGCTGGTCCGTCGAGCTGCGGCGGGAGCCCCGGGAACCGCCGGTCCGCCGAGCTGCAGCGGGAGCCGCCGCCCTGGGCCGAGGAGCCGCAGTGGGAGCCCCGGGACACGCCGGTCCGCCGAGCTGCAGCGGGAGCAGCCGGCGCCGGCCGACGATCTGCAGCGGGAGCTGCCGCGCTAGGCCGCTGCTGCCAAGATCAGGGCCAAGGTGCCATCGTCGGCCTCCTCTGGTATGTGTACCGGGGAAAGAAGAACAGGGGAAAGAAGAATAGTGAGCTCGTCGATGCAATATCAGTCCAAAAGCAGAGAAGAATTGTAAATTAGCCATAGGGGTAATTGTGTCTTTTCGCATGGAGAAAAAAGGGATACAAAATCGAAAATGATTACAGTAATTGAAAAGGGCAAATCATTAAAAGAAAAATGAAAAGTGGGGCAAATGATCTAATCCTATGTAAAATGGGGCAAATCATCTAATGCCTAAGTAAAATGGGGCAAATGATCCAATCTCCCCTCCCTAAGTCTAGTCCTCTCTTTTTCCTCGCTCCCCTTTTCTTTCTCCAATCTCCATTAAATTTGCAGGATAATCTCCCTACTCTGTTCGGCTGCTCTTCCTTCCCTCCCCACCTTCTCGGCCAGGGAGCTCCGCTGAGTGGAGCGAGCATAGCTCGGAGACGGCGATGGAGGCGGCTCTTCTGGGCGGATTCATCAAGGTCATCCTGCCGAGGCTCTTCTCTCTCATCGACGACAAGTACAAGCTGCACAAGGGCGTCAAGAGCGACGTCAGGTTCCTCGTGAAGGAGCTCCGCATGATCGTCGGCGCCATCGACGACGACGACGAGCTCTCAGCGGCCTCCTCCACCGCGCGCTTGTCCATCCAGGACCTGCGCGAGCTGGCCCACGGCATAGAGGACTGCATCGACGGCCTCATGTATCGCGCCACCTGGGAGCGGCAGGCGTCCTTCCTCCGCCGGAGCGTTCGGCTTCGGCCCCCCAAGGCGCTCAAGACCGGCGCGCAGCTCGCTCGGGAGATGCAGCGGCTCAGGCACATGGCGAAGGAAGCGCACGAGCGGAAGCGGAGGTACGCGGCCGGCTTCCCCGCCGGCGACGGCGGCCGGCCCTCTTCTGCTACCCAGCCGGTGGATGAATCGCCCTCTTGCCCGTCCGATCCGCGCATCCTTGACGCGGATCTGGTCGGCGTCGACGAGCCCCTCGCGGAGCTGCTGGAGCAGCTGGCTGAGGGGCGGCCTAGCCATCTGAAGGCGATCGCCGTCGTCGGGTTTTGCGGCTTGGGGAAGACCGCCCTCGCCGCGGAAGTGTACAACCGAGAAACCCGCAGCGAGAGATTTGAGAGGCACGCGTGGGTTTATGCGGCGCTGAAGAGCCCATGGGAGGTGCTAGCGGAGATGCTCCGGAAACTTAGCTCCGGCGCCCCTCCTTCTCCTTGCCAGGGGAAAAATGTACTGGAGACCTCCGATGTCGGACAACTCTGTGCAGAACTCAAACAACAGCTGGTGAAGAAGAGGTAATCGACTTTGGGCTTTGCCTGATTCATTTCGCCTTTGCACCTATAATTTCAAGAAACATCTCTGTTTTATCTGCCACGGATGCACCGGTATGGTATTTTCTTGCTAGTCAGCTTGAATGAAAACTAAACGAAACGTGATCCAAATCTTAATGATGAGCAGCCCAATTTGTGATAGTACAAATGACAAAAACATTCACAAATTGTTGGTTTAAACCCCAAAAATCTGTAAATGGAGACAAGTTCTACTAATGGGTGTGTTATAAATGGAAGGTCGTATTTTTGCTTCAAAAAATGATCTGTGTGTACTTATATTTCTTCATGATCTGTCTTTCAGATATTTCATTGTGATCGATGACATTCGAACAGAAGATCAGTGGAAAACCATCAAATCTGCCTTGCCAGCAGATAAGGATATTAGCAGTAGAATACTGGTGACGATGACTATTCAGTCAGTAGCTAATGCCTGCAGTTCTAGTAATGGTTATGTTCACAAAATGAGCAGACTTGATAAAATGTGCTCGAAACAATTGTTCACCAAGAAAGCTTGTCCGGACAAATATTCATGTTACAAGCAGCCTGATCCAGCAGAAGTTTTGAAGAAATGTGATGGCCAACCACTTGCGCTGGTGACAATAGGTGAATTCTTGCAAGCAAAGGGTTGGCCAACAGGACCTAGCTGTGAAGACGTCTGCACCCAGATAGGTTATCACCTGGAGAATGACAAGAGCTTCGAAAAAATGCGACGTGTGCTGATTCATAACTACACCACTCTGCTTAGCCATGCTCTCAAAGCCTGCTTGCTATATTTTGGTATGTTCCCAAGTAATCGTCCCATCGGAAGAAAAGTCTTTTGAGACGATGGCTTGCCGAGGGATTTGTAGAACCGCAACCTTCGCCGAGCTCCCCTGATCCCATAGCTGCTTTCAATGCCCTCATGGACCGAAACATCATTGAGCCAATCAACTTGAGCAACAATGATAATGTGAAGACTTGTCAGACATATGGCATGATGCGCGAGTTCATTTTGCACATGTCCATCTCTCAGAACTTCGTTACTTTGTTTTGCAATGACAAGATAGAGCCCAAATACGTTCGTCGGCTTTCTCTCCATGATAGCTCTGCTACAGATGCTGACAGTTTCAACAATGTTGATTTATCACTTGTCCGGTCTCTAGCAATCTTCGGGAAGGCAAGTCAAACTGTATTGGACCTCAGCAAGTACCATCTTCTGCGAGTATTGGATCTTGAAAAATGTGAGGAGTTGAAGGATGATCATGTCAAAGACATATGCAACCTGCTGCTTCTAAAATATCTGAGCCTTGGGGGTGGTGTTACCACAATTCCAAGAGATATTGTTAAACTGAAACATTTGGTATCACTTGATGTAAGGAGAACAAAGGTACAGATACTGCATGTAGAAGTCTTCCAGTTGCCGTCTTTAATTCACTTATTTGGGAAGTTTAAGCTTACAGATATAGTCAAGCCAAAAAGTGAAGTACATGAGTTTCTCTCCAAAGGAAAAAGTAACTTAGAAACGCTAGCAGGATTTGTTACCGACAGAAGTGGAGGGTTCCTGCATCTTATGGGTTATATGAATAAACTGAGTAAGGTGAAGATTTTGTGTGAGTCGCCTGCAGGCTGCGCTGACCAAACTGATCTTAAGGAGGCCATTCAGCAGTTCATTGAGGATGAAAAGCAGGCAAATGTTGGTTCTCGCTCTTTATCGCTTCATTTCGGCAAATGCTGTGAAGGGCTCCTGAATTCCTTAAAAGGACCCTGCTACCTCAGTTCACTGAAATTGCATGGCGACTTGGTTGCACTGCCTCAGTTTGTTGTGTCACTTCGGGGCCTCAGGGAGCTATGCCTTTCGTCTACTAGATTGACAGCGGGTGTTCTTGAAGCTTTGAGTAATTTGAGCTACCTGCAGTACTTGAAACTGGTTGCTCATGACCTTGAGAAATTCGTCGTAAGAGACCAGGCGTTCTGCAGGCTTCTACGCCTTTCTTTGGAGCTGCAATGTCCAACTTTCCCCACAATAGAAGAAGGGGCTCTGCCATTCCTTGTCACACTCCAGCTGCTCTGTAAAGATCTGCATGGCCTTTCTGACCTCAAAATAGAATATCTCAAACATCTCAAGGAGGTCACTCTTGACCCTAGAGTCACTCCAACAACAAGAGGAACATGGGAGAAGGCTGCTAGGAAGCATCCGAACAGGCCAAAGGTTTTGCTGCTCAAATCTGTTGATGCAGCACAAAGTGAGCTTGCAGACTACACTATAGCGTCAGAGCCAGCTGAAAGTGCCATTCAAGAAACTAGCATTCCAGCACTACTTAACCAGGGGCTGGTGGCATCATCCTCTGCGATGAGGAAACAGAGCACTTCTGTTTTGAGCAATATGGGCCCCTCAGAGGTTTCTTCTGCTTTAACATGATTTGGCGACCTTGACGATGGGTAGCTTTTTCGATAAAGTGCGCTTTTATTATCTTAAATGTAGCATCAAGCGGATATAAATCATTATGAGTGACACACGGCCTCTGCATAACTAAGTTGCACACAGCCAATACTGAATAGTCTGATACAAAGAAATGAAACTACAATACTCTTATTTTTTTTAGAAAAGGAGGAAGACCCCCGGCCTCTGCATCTGGGCGTTGCATGTGGTCACTTTATTAATTATTCATAAAATACCTTAGAAAGAAATACAGCAGTAACTCTGAAGCCACCGTCTAGGCAACATCTGTTGCTACTCCTACCTAGTTAATGAAGGGAGCCAAGCCTAACATCTAAGACCTGAGGTCCCAACCAAGCCACTTGCCGGGTATGAGGCACACACCGGTCCGGGGCGCTCTCAGAGGCCGCGGCCGCCAACTGTCACCGCTCCATCTTCAGAGCTGTATTGACGCATCATCTTTGCTCGGTTTAGCTGTCGTCGACGCCACCACGGCGCCCAACGTCATCACCTCCGTGTGCGCAAACTGCTGAGCAAATCGCGGTCGCCGCCAGTACACCTCAGCACCAGGCCACCAGGTACCACTAGCCGACACAGCTTGAAGTCTCTAGAAGATCTGTCGTGTGTAGCACCTGCCGACCAGGCATGACAAAGCGTAGCACCTGTCGGTCAGGCATGACTTGACATCTTCACTGAAGCTCCGTGCAAGACGAAGCCGCTCCATCTCCTACCTCTGACTTCGAGCGTGTTGGCAATATGCCCTAGAGGCAATAATAAAATGGTTATTATTATATTTCCTTATTCATGATAATTGTCTATTGTTCATGCTATAATTGTATTGACCGGAAACCGTAATACATGTGTGAATACATAGACCACAACAAGTCCTTAGTGAGCCTCTAGTTGACTAGCTTGTTGATTAACAGATGGTCATGGTTTCCTGAGTATGGACATTGGATGTCATTGATAATGGGATCACATCATTAGGAGAATGATGTGATGGACAAGACCCAATCCTAAGCATAGCACAAGATCGTGTAGTTCGTTTGCTAAGGCTTTTCTAATGTCAAGTATCATTTCCTTAGACCATGAGATTGTGCAACTCCCGTATACCGTAGAAATGCTTTGGGTGTACCAAACGTCACAACGTAACTGGGTGTCTACAAAGATGCACTACAGGTATCTCCGAAAGTGTTTGTTGGGTTGGCACGAATCAAGACTGGGATTTGTCACTCCGTATGACGGAGAGGTATCTCTGGGCCCACTCGGTAATGCATCATCATAATGAGCTCAATGTGACTAAGTAGTTGGTCACGGGATCATGCATTACGGAACGAGTAAAGTGACTTGCCGGTAACGAGATTGAATAAGGTATTGGGATACCGATGATCGAATCTCGGGTAAGTAACGTACTGGTACGTCTTGAGCTTGCGTTGGTTTTCTTTGAAGAGGAAAGGATGATGCAGCCCAGTAGCGTAAGTATTTCCCTCAGTTTTTGAGAACCAAGGTATCAATCCAGTAGGAGGCTCCTCACAAGTCCCACGCACCTACACAAACAAAACAAGAACTTGCAACCAACGCAATAAATGGGCTGTCAATCCCTTCACGGCCACTTGCGAAAGTGAGATCTAATAGAGATAATATGATAAGATAAATATATTTTTGGTATTTTATGATATAGATTGGAAAAGTAAAGATGCAAATAAAAGTAGATTGAAAGCTTATATGATAAGAGATAGACCCGGGGGCCATAGATTTCACTAGTGGCTTCTCTCAAGATAGCATAATTATTACGGTGGGTGAACAAATTACTGTCGAGCAATTGATAGAAAAGCGAATAATTATGAGATTATCTAGGCATGATCATGTATATAGGCATCACGTCCGTGACAAGTAGACCGACTCCTGCCTGCATCTACTACTATTACTCCACACATCGACCGCTATCCAACATGCATCTAGAGTATTAAGTTCATGAAGAACAGAGTAACACTTTAAGAAAGATGACATGATGTAGAGGGATAAACTCATGCAATATGATATAAATCTCATCTTTTTATCCTCGATGGCAACAATACAATACGTGCCTTGCTGCCCCTGCTGTCACTGGGAAAGGGCACCGCAAGATTGAACCCAAAGTTAAGCACTTCTCCCATTGCAAGAAAGATCAATCTAGTAGGCCAAACCAAACCGATAATTCAAAGAGACTTGCAAAGATAACTTAATCATACATAAAAAGATTCAGAGAAGATTCAAATATTTCTCATAGATAAACTTGATCATAAACCCACAATTCATCGGATCTCGACAAACACACCGCAAAAAGAGTTACATCGAATAGATCTCCAAGAAGAGGAAGGAGAACTTTGTATTGAGATTCAAAGGGAGAGAAGAAGCCATCTAGCTAAGAACTATGGACCCGAAGGTCTGTGGTAAACTAGTCACAACTCATCGGAGAGGCCTTGGAGTTGATGTAGAGGCCCTCTGTGGTGGATTCCCCCTCCGGCGGAGCACCGACGACGGCTCCAAGATGGGATCTCGCGGATACATAAGGTTACGGTGGTGGAAATAGTTTTTCATTGGCTCCCCTGATGTTTTCGGGGTACATGGGTATATATAGAGGAAGGAGTACGTCGGTGGATGATCGAGGGGCCCACGAGGGTGGGAGGCGCGCCCACCTGTAGGGGGCGCGCCGGGCACCCTCGTGGCCGCCTTGCTTGTTTCTTGACTTCCACTCCAAGTCCTCTGGATCACGTTTGTTTCAAAAAGATCGCTCCCGAAGGTTTCATTTCGTTTGGACTCCGTTTGATATTCCTTTTCTTTGAAACACTGAAATAGGCAAAAAACAGCAATTCGGGTTGGGCCTCCGGTTAGTAGGTTAGTCCCAAAAATGATATAAAAGTGTAAAGTAAAGCCCATAAACATCCAAAACGGGTAATATAATAGCATGGAACAATCAAAAATTATAGATATGTTGGAGACGTATCAAGCATCCCCAAACTTAATTCCTGCTCGTCCTCGAGTAGGTAAATGATAAAAACAGAATTTTTGATGTGGAATTCGACCTAGCATATCTCTCAATGTATTTCTCTTTATTGTGGCATGAATGTTCAGATCCAAATGATTCAAAATAAAAGTTCATATTGACAAAAAGGATAATAATACTCCAAGCATACTAACTAAGCAATCATGTCTTCTCAAAATAACATGGCAAAGGAAAGTTCATCCCTACAAAATCATATAGTTTGGTCATGTTTCATTTTGGTTACACAAGAATGCTCTCATCATGCACAACCCCGATGATGAGCCAAGCAATTGTTTCATACTTTAGTAATCTCAAACTTTTTCAACCTTCACGCAATACATGAGCGTGAGCCATGGATATATCACTATGGGTGGAATAGAATATGATAATGAGGGTATGTGGAGAAGACAAAAAGGAAGAAAGTCTCATATTGACGAGGCTAATCAATGGGCTATGGAGATGCCCATCAATTGATGTCAACATGAGGAGTAGGGATTGCCATGCAACGGATGCACTAGAGCTATAAATGTATGAAAACTCAACAAAAGAAAGTGGGTGTGCATCCAACTTGCTTGCTCATGAAGACCTAGGGCATTTTGAGGAAGCCCATCGTTGGAATATACAAGCCAAGTTCTATAATAAAAAATTCCCACTAGTATATGAAAGAGACAACAAATGAGACTCTCTATATGAAAAACATGGTGCTACTTTGAAGCACAATGTGGAAAAAGATAGTAACATTGTTCCCTTTTTTATTTATTTTTATTTTGGGCCTTTCTTTTTTTGCCTTTCTTTTTTTTCTTTGGCCTTTTTTCTTTTTGGCCTTTTTAAGGGATAATGCTCTAATTAATAATGATGACCATCACACTTCTATTTATTTACAACTAGATACTAGAGCAAAGTATGACTCTATATGAATGCCTCCGGTTGTGTACCGGGATGGGCAATGAATCAAGAGTGACATGTAGGAAAAATTATGCATGGTGGCTTTGCCACAAATATGGTGTCAACTACATGATCATGCAAGGCAATATGACAATAATGATGCGTGTCATGATGAACGGAACGGTGGAAAGTTGCATGGCAATATATCTCGGAATGGCTATGGAAATGCCATAATAGGTAGGTATGGTGGCTGTTTTGAGGAAGATATAAGGAGGTTTATGTGTGATAGAGCATATCGTATCACGGGGTTTGGATGCACCGGCGAAGTTTGCACCAACTCTCAAGGTGAGAAAGGGCAATACACGGTACCGAAGAGGCTAGCAATGATGGAAGGTGAGAGTGCGTATAATCCATGGACTCAACATTAGTCATAAAGAACTCACATACTTATTGCAAAAATCTACAAGTCATCAAAAACCAAGCACTACATGCATGCTCCTAGGGGGATAGATTGGTAGGAAAAAACCATCGCTCGTCCCCGACTGCCACTCATAAGGTTGACAATCAAATAACACCTCATGCTTCAAATTTGTCACACAACGGTTACCATACGTGCATGCTACGGGATTTGCAAACCTCAAGACAAGTATTTTTTAAATTCACAATTACATCAACTAGCATGACTCTAATATTACCACCTTCATATCTCAAAACAATTATTAAGCATCAAGTTGATCATAGTATTCAATTCACTACCTATGATAGTTTTTATATACCCAACTTGGATGCCCACCATTCTAGGACTAATTTTATAACCATAGCAAATACCATGCTGTTCTAAAAGACTCTCAAAATAATATAAGTGAAGCATGAGAGACTAATAATTTCTACAAAATTAAGCCACCACCGTGCTCTAAAAGATATAAGTGAAGTACTAGAGCAAAAATCATCTATCTCAAAAGATATAAGTGAAGCACATAGAGTATTCTAACAAATTTCAAATCAAGTATTTCTCTTCCAATAGGTGTGTACAGCAAGGATGATTGTGGTAAAATAACAAGCAAAGACTAAT